TTTTCCCAGGGTGGAAATGACTATGATGAGGGGGCAGAATTTTAAGGTGATTGGAAGAAGGTATAGGGGAGATGTCAGAGGCAGGTTCTTCACACAGAGAGTGGTGGATCAGATACATTAGAGACATTTAAGCGACTCTTGGATAGACACTTGAATGATTGTATAATGTAGGGTATGCAGGGTAGTTTGATCTTAATAAGATAAAAGGTCGGCACAACATTGCATGCCGAAGGACCTGTACTATGCTGTACTGTTCTATGTTCTATGCTCTTTGAACAAAGGCAGGACTTATATAGTTAATGGTAGGGCCCTGGGTAGTGTTATTGAACTGAAAGCCCTGGGGGTTCAGGTATGTAGTTCTTTGAAATTTCCATCCCAGGTAGAGAGGGTGGTGAAGAAGGTGTGTAGCACGCTTGCCTTCATTGCTCAGGGCATTGAGTGTCAGAGATGGGATGTCGTGTTGAGGTTGTACAGGACGGTGGTGAGGGCACTTTTGGAATACTGTGTACAGTTCTGGTCACCCTGCTATAACAAGGATATTATTAAACTGGAGAGGGTTCAGAAAAGATTTGCCAGGATGTTATGAGGGCTACAGCATTTGAGTTATAAGGAGCAGCTGGAGAGGCTGGGACTTTTTGACTGGAGCATAGGAAGTTGAAGGATGACCTTATAGAGGTTTATAAAATCTTGAGGGGCATAGATAAGGTGAAGAGCAAAGGTCTTTTCTCTAGATGGGGGAGTCCAAAATTAGGGGACATATTTTTAAGGTGAGAGGAGAAAGATTTGAAAGGGACCTGAGGGGCAACTTTTTCACACAGAGAGTGGTTCGTATGTGGAATGAACTGCCAGAGTAAGTGGTAGATGCAGATACAGTTACAACATTTAAAAGACAGATACATGAATAGGAAAGCTTTCGAGGAATCTGGGCCAAACACTGGCAAATGGAACTAGTTTAGCATGGACAAGTTGGACCAAAGTGTCTGTTTCCATATTGTCTAACTCTAGAAAAAGAAAGTTTATGATACTCACAAAAAAATCTCAACAATGCAGATAACCGAGAGAAGTACATAAAGAAGAGGGATCAAGTAAATAAAAAAACTAAAAAAGGGCATAAAAATTAGCAATAAAGTAAAAGGAAGTCATGAAGATGTTTTACCAATATATAAAGAGAGCAAAAGGTTAGTTAAGGAAAAAGTGGGGCCTATCAGAGATGAAGGAAACTTGTGTGAAGGTGAAGAGGATATGGGAAGAATTAAAATTTTTTTTTTGTGTCTGTATTCACAGAAAGGGATGTTGTGGATATAGTAGTCCCAGAGGAGCATTGTGAAATATTGAACAAAATAATCATAACAAGACAGGAAGTGTTCGAGGAGTTGGGATCCTTGAAAGTGGATAAGTTCCCTAAGGTGTTAAAGGAGGTCAGGGAGGAAATAGCAGATACTTTAAGGATTATTTTCCAATCTTCACTAGACACAGATGAAGTGCCAGAGGTCTGGAAGAATGCAAATGTGGTTGTGTTGTTTAAAAAGGGCACAAAGAAAATGCCGAACTATTATAGGCCAGTTAGTCTTAATTTGGTGGTGGGTAAATTGTTAGAATCAATCCTGAGAGATTGGATAAACTGTCATTTAGAAAGGCACGAACTAGTCAGGGATGGTCAGCATGGCTTTGTTAAGGGAAAGTCATACCTTACAGAATTCTTTGAGGAAGTAACAAGGAGGATCGATGATGGTAGTGAACTGGATGTTGCCTACATGGATTTTAGTCAGGCATCTGACATGGTCCCACACTGGCAGACTGGTCAAAAAAGTAAAATCCCATCGGATGCAGGGTAACACGTCAAATTGGCTTAGTAACAGGAAACAAACAGTAATGTCGATGGCTGCCCTTACAAATGGAAAGCTGTTTCTAGTTGAGTTCCACAGAGCTTGGGGTTGGGACTCCTGCTGTTTGTTTTGTACAACGATGTTGACTTAAATATGAGGGGCATGATTGGGACATTTGCAGATGATACAGAAAGTTGCCGTGTAGTGGATAGTGTAGAAGATAGGTGTAAGCTCCAAACTGATACAGATGGGTTGGTGGAGTGGGCAGGAAAGTGGCAGATGGAGTTTCTCTCTGATAAGTGTGAGGTAATGCATTTAGAGAGGTCAAACAGTAAAGGGGAATACACAATAAATGGGAATATACTGAGATGGGGAGATGAAGTGAGAGATCTGTGTGTACAAGTGCACATGTCCCTAAAGGGTAGCAGTGCAGGTAGACTAAGGTTGGAAAGAAGGCATGTGGAACGCTCTCCTTCATTGGCAGAGGTAGAGAATACAAAAATAGGGATATAATGATGGAACCGTGTAAGACACTGCTGAGGCTACAACTGGCGTATTGTGTGCAGCTCTGGTTGCCATATTACAGGAAGGACGTTATCACTCTGGAGAAAGTGTGGAGAAGATTTACCAGAATGTTGGCAGGACAGGAGAACTGTAGCTCTGAGAAGAGGTTGGGATTGTTTTCGTTGGCTGAGGGGTGATATGATTGAGGTGTACAGAATTGTCAGGGGTAGAGATAGTGTAGACAGGGGGAACCTGTTTCCCTCAGCAGAGAGTTCAAAAACCTGGCATCATAGATTCAAGTGAAGTGGCAGAAGGATTAGAGGGAACGCGAGGGAAAACGTTTTTTAAAAAAGGGTGATGGGTGCCTTGAATTTGTTACCTGAGTTGATGGTGGAGACAGAGACCCTAAACTCTTGTAAAAAGTACCCAAATCTGCACCTTCAGTGCTATAAGCTGCAGGTCTATGGACCGTCTGTGGGAAAATGGGATTAGAAAGGGCATCTATGGACCGTCTGTGGGAAGATGGGAT